TGTGGAAAATCAACGTGGAGACAAGCGAGGTTAGTAAATCTGTAGTCGTCTAAGCCTTGAAAATTCCATCTCTTCCTTTTCCCCTTGCTCTTGCCGCCGCCCACGCCAAGCAACTCAAAGCCGCCAGCCACCCAGCCTCCATCTTCCGCCGGCCAGCTCAGCCGCCGACGGTTACCCTCCTGCCGACCAACCGCCGGCCTCCCGCCGGCAAGCCTTCCGCTGGCCAGCCCAGCAGCCCCCTCTCCCACCGCCTCCCCCATCTTGAATTCCTATTGTTTGAATTTCAAACCCTTGATTAAACACTTTCCTAATTGGTTCCCCTTCATTATGTAAGCCCATTAATGAAATTAAAGCCAAATTCGAATTTCAAATTTGGTTTCCCTCTCATTATAAGGCTTGGGAAGTTACTAAAGCTACAATTAAATCTGAAATTAAAATTCAAATTTAATTGAATTCCTTACTTAAACTTGGGCCCCACTAATAACTCCTAAATCCCTCTCTCTCCTCCTTATATGACCGGCCACCCTTTGTTGGTCTTCTCTCTCTTCTAAATGACATAAAACATCCATAAATCAGCCCAAATTCCTTCCCCCTTTGCCGCCCCATCAATCCCTTTTGAATTAATTTGAATTCCTCAAATTAATTCCCTCCCACCCCTACTAAAAACTGAAATTACTGCAAAAATATATCATATGTTTGTATTCTTAGAAGAATATTTCTGAAAATTCATTTCGGACCAAATCATCCCCTCTTGTATATGCAAATTGCTAATTTGGGACACATACCATGAAGAGATCAAGAGAGTGAAATGGTTGATTCTAAATGAATCAATTTCATAATAGAGATTGTCCATGGTCGGGATTCTCGGGTCATATTGTTCAAATAAAGTGATCATTGCTAGTACGAGTACATAGTGTAAATAAATCATCAATTGAGCATCATACAGGAAAGATGAACTGTTTGATTAAAATTAATATAGAGTATTTTTTTTTACTTGTTGCATGGATGATTTATAATTTTAAATTCAGGATTAGGAAAATTCTATTGGAATGCTGACTAAACTTTTTATCTTGAGCTGACCCCAACCCAAACCGGCTAAATCAATTCAAATTGAGCCGACCAAGTCTCTGTTAACTCATTCAACTCAATCCTTACGCAATCTTAGCCTTCAAGATCTTTTCCAAATTCATTAAAGTAGACCCAACCCATTTTAATTTAACCCAAGTTAGCTTATACAATCCAAACAAATCAATTTGAGCGATTTTGAGCACAAATTAGTCAAACCAATAAAGCTTATTCTAAAATTAGTTGTACACTAGTTTTTCCCAATAGACTACAACGTCTTCTCAAGTCGAGCTAGGCTCAATCAAAGAACTAGTGGTGCAAGAGAGACAACAAAATGCATGTGGTCCTCACTCCTTTTTTTCAATATCATTTGGCCATCTTAGAACTTTAGGCGATTAAAGGCAATGCAAGTGCAATAGCCGTCAACCCTAACAAATCGAGGGTAGGATAGATTCAGCCATGAATAGTCGCAAGCTGAGTAAAATCAATCATGGTTTTTCATTAGAGGATCAGTGACCTATAATTTTCTGAAGTTTCCCTAGAGCTCCAGCATACAAACCCAAGATTCTGCCACTGCACTACTGCAGTGGTCTTAACCCCAAGATGAGCAAGGTCTTATGAATTTGTAACTGTCTAGACAGCTAATGAATCTAGGAATCTTCAAGCATTGAGTTTTTCTCAGTTGCCTTCCCATCTACTAGATGAAGATACTATAAATGGTTTAATACAGAACAGTAGCTTCAGTGAGGCATTCTATTTGAAACCAAGAAAGCCTAGGTCTATTAGCCACTGAATTGTGTGTGTGTGTGGAGAACCCATCCAACCCCACGACCAATTAGATAACCCTTTGATAATGTCTCTCAACCCAAAGCCTTACTATCTTCCTTTTGAATCCATAGAGAGCCAGTGATCTCGGATGGATGGTTGCCATTCAAGGGACGAAGGAAGAAGATGATGTGCATGTCGTTAGATTATCAGAACCATTTTTGATATCCTTCAATGCATGAAATCCGCATTCACTCAACTCAAACCCAGTACCTTAGGTTTCATCTAGCTGACCAACCCTCCAAATCAAAAGCCTCTCTTTGTCCCCATTAGCATTCTTTTTTCCAACTTTAAAACAACATGCAAGCAACGGGTTGCCATGTGGAAAGGCTAGCCCAATCATCTACTAATAGGGGTGTTAATGATGAGGACATCGTCAGAGATTTCAACACATGAACCATCAGGAGACGCCAGAGATCGACGGCCACGATCATGAGTTTTATTTTGAGTCATTTTATTTAGTAGTTTATTTTATTTTTTTCAGTTTTTCCGCTTTTGCCCTTATGGGTATTTGGTCGCTATTGTAGCCCAAGGGGAATTTTAGTCTTTTGTTTTATTTGTCATTTGGAGGCTTATATATAGCCCTTTTCTTATGTAATAGTTAGTTTTTGATGAAGTGAAAATTTAGCTCTTATTCTCTTTGTGAGTTCATTCCCCCACGATCTCTTAGTGAGTTCGCCAGAGAAAACTAGATCTCTTAGTGAGTTCTAGTTTTCGAATTATCTAATCTTGTGGAAAATCAACGTGGAGACAAGCGAGGTTAGTAAATCTGTAGTCGTCTAAGCCTTGAAAATTCCATCTCTTCCTTTTCCCCTTGCTCTTGCCGCCGCCCACGCCAAGCAACTCAAAGCCGCCAGCCACCCAGCCTCCATCTTCCGCCGGCCAGCTCAGCCGCCGACGGTTACCCTCCTGCCGACCAACCGCCGGCCTCCCGCCGGCAAGCCTTCCGCTGGCCAGCCCAGCAGCCCCCTCTCCCACCGCCTCCCCCATCTTGAATTCCTATTGTTTGAATTTCAAACCCTTTATTAAACACTTTCCTAATTGGTTCCCCTTCATTATGTAAGCCCATTAATGAAATTAAAGCCAAATTCGAATTTCAAATTTGGTTTCCCTCTCATTATAAGGCTTGGGAAGTTACTAAAGCTACAATTAAATCTGAAATTAAAATTCAAATTTAATTGAATTCCTTACTTAAACTTGGGCCCCACTAATAACTCCTAAATCCCTCTCTCTCCTCCTTATATGACCGGCCACCCTTTGTTGGTCTTCTCTCTCTTCTAAATGACATAAAACATCCATAAATCAGCCCAAATTCCTTCCCCCTTTGCCGCCCCATCAATCCCTTTTGAATTAATTTGAATTCCTCAAATTAATTCCCTCCCACCCCTACTAAAAACTGAAATTACTGCAAAAATATATCATATGTTTGTATTCTTAGAAGAATATTTCTGAAAATTCATTTCGGACCAAATCATCCCCTCTTGTATATGCAAATTGCTAATTTGGGACACATACCATGAAGAGATCAAGAGAGTGAAATGGTTGATTCTAAATGAATCAATTTCATAATAGAGATTGTCCATGGTCGGGATTCTCGGGTCATATTGTTCAAATAAAGTGATCATTGCTAGTACGAGTACATAGTGTAAATAAATCATCAATTGAGCATCATACAGGAAAGATGAACTGTTTGATTAAAATTAATATAGAGTATTTTTCCCCCCCACCCTTTGCCTACATCAAGATTGAAAAGCAAAGCAGCTAGAAAATGCTAAAAAAGAACCCTAAAAGAAATAAAAAGCATAAAGCATAGCAAAAACAAAGATTAAGCCATTTTATAGTCATCTTATGAGCCATCAATTAACCAAAAGGATTTAAAATAAATGGTTGAAATATAGAAGGCTATCGAGGTATTTTGTTACAATGGCAGCTTGATAAAATTTTTCTTAACAATAACAAGACCAATGGCTTGGCTCTAGGGTTTGAAGAAAATGAATGCTTAAACAAACAATTTGAGCGTAACAAAAATGACAAAATTAATATGAAATTATGCTAACATATAAGTTGTACTACAGGCCAAATATAGATAGAGATGGTTTAGGCATGCCAAACCACATAACAAATGACCATGCAATAAGACAGCGCAAGAACTAGCTTAACCCTAATTTCATGGAGAAACTATTTCAATTATTCAACCCATGCTAAATAAAAAATATAAAAAAAATAAATAAATAAATATTCAACCCATGCCTGCTATTCAAAAATGTTCTAAGTAGGTAATCCCTCATTGAAATGCTTCACACTAATGCTAGCATTAAAGCTCAATGCATATGTGGTGCATCAACTCTCACTAGAAATGGCATTTCCAAGCAAGCATAACATGAAATTTTGGTTTCATAAGGAAAGCAACGGATTTGAATTTTCAAATTGTCGACACATTGGTTTAAATCAAGGAAAAGAATCCACAAATGGAGCAATTTAAATTCAAAATCCTCCACACATGGCCAACCACAGATGTTTATGTGTGAATTTTGTTAATTCCGTGTAATGGTGTAAATGAGGCTATTGAAAGAAAAGGTATCATGCAAGAAAAGATAGCTTGGTTTGAATCATGTAGGATGCCTTTGCATTTTCTTATAAGGAATGGTCAGGTGAATTTCAATTAGATAGAAAATTTGCTGAATTGCAAAAAAAAAAATGCTTATATTTTATCCTTAATCATGAATTGAGGAGGAGAAAGTAGTTCATTTTCCTTTCATAGTTTGCATTTCTTTTATCATAATTCATAGTTGTATTATCTCCTACCCCCTTCAATCCAATTCTTGTTGATTAGGCTCGGACACCATGGTTGCGGCCCTTCCCAAGCATACCCTTAATCCACCAACATTTTGGTGGATGGTGCCTTCATATACATTGTTGGTTGATGGCTCTCATGGAATATTGTTCTATTCCATGATCATAACTAGTAAATTAGCCATAACTGCACTCCTTTTTTTAATTTAATAATAAAGATGGTTAGGCATTATCCCCCGCCTTCTAAAAACCACCACCATCACCTTACATCTCTTTATCGGAAACATTAGTTTAAACTACTAAAATAAAATTCATACCTCAAGATCATAATTTTCTGGAGATAAACGGCTTCGAACTTGTCTTTCCTTATCCAACTCAATAGCCTGCTTTAGTTAATTCCCAAAAATCAGCTACATTAAGACATGGTTTTAATGAGTGTTACAGTATAAAATTAAAAATGACAGCCACACCTCATCATCATCATCTCCATGAGATCCATGGCTCTTTCTGAATCGTTTTCTATGATCATTTCCTTTTGTTGATGCATGCGAAGCACCTCCCATAGAAGCTTGATCATCCCTATCATCCTCATCATCAGAATCTAGCAGCTTGTAACTCAATTGCTTTTTTGCTAATTGGATGGCCTCTCTTTCCTCTTTGAGGTAACTCTGGAAAAAATTTGAAGCAAACTAACATCAATATAAAGATCAAAATCAGGATTCTTGTTCCTTATGCAAATAAGTTCCTCATGCCAAACTAATATCAATGGATTGTTTCAAACAAATGCATTTACAATTTTAAATCAGAGGAAAAATATTGAAAATTAGAAAATAGAATTCCAGTAAACAAGACGTTCATGGGGTGAGAAGCAATTTTGTTTCAGACTACCACTTCGAAATCATTCTGATGATTGCGAGCAATTTTGAAACTAAATTTGAAATTATTAGAATCGAGACAAGCAGGCTTGAAAATAAAACTATTCATTTACACGTTATCTACCATGTTATTCTCTTACGTTAAGCATTGCACCATACGTCTATGTTATCAACGGCCATGATAGAATTCATTTTTGTTTCCTGTTTTTCATTTTATTTTGTTTTTCAAAAGCAAGCATTTGAATAAAACATGTTTGGCAACATGCCTTCATTTATAGTTTTTGGAAACAAAATCGTTTCTTCCCTAAAGTCATGAAAACTTGAAAACAACTACAAAGGGGCTTTCGCATGATTTGGAAACAGGTCTTAAGTAGATATTTTTATTATTTAGACTAATTTGGTTAATGAGAGAATAATTATCTTCTTTAGGGATTAACTAATGTTATAATTAAGTTCCTTAAGGTTTCAGTGGTGTTTATTGTTTAATTATGGTAACTAGGCTAGAATAGTTATCAATAATCACTGTAATTACATTAATTTATTATTAACTATGCATTAGGGGCAAATAACGTTAAGTAGAAGTTCTAATTCTGATTATTAGGTTATTTTATTTTAATTATAATAATTAAATTAATTCACTAATTAGCCGCATGATATTTAAAATATTCGGAATGATTAGAAATAAATTAGGAATTAATTATTTTTATTAGTTTTAATTTATGATAATTAAGAGTGAGACCATTTTTAATTGATATTACTAAGTAAAAATTAATGAATTATTAAGGCTAACTAAATATCAAGGTTTAAAATTGCACATTTTGAAGAATGACTTAGCCCAAGGTTCACAGGAAACAAAATGAGAAGTATGCTCCATGCATGCCAATTAAAGCATGCGCCTTAGTAGTAGTAAGGTATGCCTCATGGCTAATTTATTAAGGATAGCCTTAATTTTAGGGTTTAGGTTATTTAAAAATTTTAATTTATAAATTTTAAATATCAAATTAAACCTATTTGTTTAAACCTAAACCTATTTGTCAAAAAAAATCTTATAAGAAAATCGAAAGCCTCCTCTTGTCACAAGACAAGCCACAAAAAACTGCAAAGAACAAGCCAAAACTATTGCGCCACCACCACTATACATCGTCGTGATGTCGTTGTTGCTACTGCACCATAGTTACACTGCCACGGCTATTGCACTATCAAAACTATATCGCTGCTGCCACTACACTGTTGTCGCCTTTATGCAAACATCTTAGTTCTTATAATCAGTAGCCCTTCTCTTTTCTTATCATTCCCTTACTTGTTTCCATGATAAAGTGATGGTTTATTTTAGTATCTTTAGTTTGAGCATGAAATATCATATTATTGACTAGTGCAATAGCTGATACGTTGTCACAATATAAAGAGAGAGAGAGAGAGAGAGAAAGAAGGGGGAAAGGAGGATATGATGTTGAACTTTTTTATGATGCATCAAAGACATATGATGTCAGGCACAATCGCGGTAAAAGCACAGTGTTTTACCTCTATGGACGAGCAAGCAACAATGAACTACTTGACCCATTAGGAGAGTACGATGTGGCTAAAAAAGGTATGGTGACATATAGCTGATTTGCACTCATGGAATTCACCCGTCCAATCTTACTATGAGTGCCCGTAGAAAGAGAATGTCAAGATAGATGGGTAGATCATAGTGAAGGGTACCCTTGATGCAGTTCAATACTCTTTTGAGAAGTTGAAAGGGTTGTTGGAGAGGTTTATTGATGTAGAACGGGAGGGGCTAGCCATGATTACAATCTGAATTTTGAAAACCTTCCTTATTTAAAACGTTGCTAATAAGGAAAGTTATAATTACTTGATTTGAAACTTGGAGGGAAAGGGAAAAGGGGAATGTGATTGAGTGATTTGAAACTTGAATTTCAAATGAGGATGGAAAGGAAAATTATCCCTTAAATTAAGGATGAATTAAGGCTCCAAGAGGGGAGAATTAATGGGAATTAAGTGGATTGGAGAGAGAGGGGAGGGGCCAGCCTAGAGAGAGAGAGGAAGGAAATAAATTAAGAAATCTGAATTTAATTTCATATTTCTTAAAAGGATTGAGGGAATAATTTGAAATTCAAACTATCCTTAATGGGGAATAAGGGGGGTGGCTAATAGGGACTGATTGGGGTTGATTAAGAGCTTTAATGGAGGGGGCATTAATTAGAGAGAATGGGAGAGAGGGGGCCAACAATATGGGGAGGGAAGAGAAGTGTCCACATACAATGTATGTGGACCCAAGCAATAAATGTGAGTAGAGAATTAAATCTGATTTTAATTTCAAATTTGAGAGATTTGGGGGGTTTCTTAAAAGAGATTTACTAATTAGAAAAATTAATTTAAATCAAATCCAATTAACAATTTAATTAGATCTAATTTAAGTAATTTTCCTAAAACAGGGATTCTTATTTAGAAAAGAAATTCAAAATTGTGTGAATTTTAAATTTAAATTTTTTACCAAATTGAGAAGCCTAAAATAGGAAGGGCTTTGAATGCAAGATGGAATTTGTGGAGCAAAGGGAAGAGGGAGGAGGTGGTGGTGGAGTGGCCGACAGTTGGAGGAGGGTAAGAGGGAAGGTTGGCCGGTGGCTATGGAGGGTTTGGCCAGCGGTCAAGGGAGAAGGAGGGGGTAGAGCGACAGCTAGAAGAAAGAAGAAGGGGAACTAGAGAAGGATAAATGAAGTGTAGGGAAAAAAAGATAAAGCATGAGCCCAGACATATCCTGCGGCTGATGGGTGTTGTGCTGCCCTCACCTAAGGACATCAAACCACGAGCCTGGACACATCCTGTGGCTGGTAGATATTGCACTTCCCTCATATAGGGATCTCACCAAAGTTCTACCCCAAAAACAAGAGCGCATAATGTTTTTTTTATTAATAATCTTATCATACCAATATAATAGCAAGGGCCTCTATATATAGTCCTCAAAATGAAAGAAACTTAAAAAAGACAAATATGCCCCTAGGGCTTATAAAGGACAAATCTCTCAAAAGAGGGTAAAAACAGAAAATGCATAAATAAAATAAACAAATACAATTAATAAATAAAGATAAAGTGGAATGATCTCGGAGTTGACCTTTATCTCTTTCTCAGATAAGCGTTCATCGTTGGATGTCCGACATCCAACGGTGATTAATTGAAGGGGATGGTGATTGATTGATTTGAAACTTTAATGATGTAGACATCCAACGATGAACGCTTATCTGAGGAAGAGACGAAAATCAACGACCGAGATCAATTAACTTTATCTTAATTTATTAATTGTATTTTTTATTTTATTTATGCATTTTTTTCATTTTTACCCTCTTTTGAGAGAGTTGTCCTTTGTAAGCCCTAGGTGAATATGTCTTTTTTAAGTTTCTTTTATTTTGAGGCCTATATATAGAGGCTCTTGCTATTTTATTCGTATGATAGATTATTAATAAAAAAAAGCTTTCTGCACTCTTGTTCTTGGGGTAGAACTTTGGTGAGATCCCTATGTGAGGGAAGCATATATCCACCAGCCACAGGATGTGTCCGGGCTCGTGGTTGGAAGTCCCTAGGTGAGGGTAGCACGGCACCCATCAACTGCAGGATATGTCCGGGCTCATGGTTTATATTTCTTTCCCTACATTTCCTTTCTCCTTCTTTAATCCCCCTTCTTTCTTCTAGCCGTTCCTCTACCCCCTCCTCACTTGACCGACAATCAAACCCTCCATAGCCGCCGACCAAGCTTCCCTCTTCCCCTCCTCCAATCGTCAGCCACTCCACCACCAACTCCTACCTCTTCCCTTGGCTCCACAAATTTCATCTTGCATTTAAAACCCTTCCTATTTTGACCTTCTTAATTTGGTAACAAAATTTGAATTTAAATTCACACAATTTTGAATTTGTTTCCTAAATAAGAATCTCTATTTTAGAAAAGTTACTTAAATTAGATCAAATTAAAGCTATAATTGGATTTAATTTAAATTATTTTTTCCTAATAAGTAAATTTCTTTTAGGAAATCTCACAAATCTCTCAAATTAAAATCATATTTAATTTCCTACTCACATTTATTGCTTAGATCCACATACATTGTATGTGGACACTTCTCCTCCCTCCCCATATGGCCGGCCCCCTCTCTCCCCTTCTCTCTAATTAATGCCCCTCAATTAAAGCTCTCAATCAACCCCAATCAGCCCCTATTAGCCCCCCCCCTCCCCCGCCCCGCTATTCCCCATTAAGGAAAGTTTGAATTTCAAATTATTCCCTCCCTCCTTTTAGGAAATCTGAATTAAATTCAAATTTCTTAATTTATTTCCTTTCTCTCTCTAGGTTGACCACTCCCCTCTCTTTCCAATCCACTTAATTATCATTAATCCCCCCCCAACCCTCTTGGAGGCTTAATTCTTCCTTAATTAAAGGGCCAAGATTCATGTGAAAAAGACCCTTAAAGTTTTTATATGAGGGTTGTAATGGAGGTAGAATTTGAGGAAGCCAGTTTCCTCAGTAGAGCAGTATTTATAAAAAGGGGCAAAGTTTTGGATGAGTTGAAAAGGCACTTGTTAAAGGCTCGACAGATTATGAAGAAGCAAACGGATGAGCATAGAAAGGACATCCATTTTGAGGTAGGAAATAGGATATACTTGAAGCTACGGCCCTAAAGACAAAGATCGGTAGCTCACGGGAGGAATGAAAAGCTGACCCCGAGGTACTTCGGCCTGTATGAGATATTAGAGGATTGGAGCAGTGGCTTATCGATTAAAGTTACCCTCGACCGTGACTATACACCTAGTGTTCCATGTATCCCATTTGAGGAGAGTTATTGGGGATCATGTGGCTAGTTCAGAATTGTTAGGGTCACTGACAGAGGATCTGGAAGTAAAGATGGAATCACTGAAGCTGAAAGGGGTACGACATAGAGAAGGTGGATTCAAGGAAGGGTTGATAAAGTTGAAGAATCTACCAGACTATGACGCCACGTCGCCACCTAAGGGCCATATGAGAGAGTGAAGCATCAATTTTCATCTTTCTACTTGAGAACAAGGTGTATCTTTGGGAGGGGAATATTGTTAGACCAATCATTGGACCGGTCCAACTTGGATCGGCCTTGGTCTACCGTAGTGGAACACAAGTTCTACCTCAATCAATGCCGCCCCCTTTGGGGATGGGGCACAACAGCCAAATTAATGAGAGATTAGGATGAAATTTTTCAAATTGAGGGGTTGTTTTGGCATTAACTATATTTTGTATGGTTTAAATATATGGTTTAACCTAGGATTACGTTTTTATCTTGTGTTTTCTGAAATTTGGGGAGTTCTTTATCTTTGTTTGTGCTCTAGCAGCGTCTAGAGATTTGGGAGAGCCGGATCCTCCTCTCAAATTGAGAATCCATTGTATCTTGTTGTTTTCATTCAATTGTTATCAGTAAAATCTTTTCTCATTAGTATTTCCACCAAATTCTTCTTAATTTATAGTTTGAACCTTGCTAAAATTCAAATTAGATCCAAGGGAAGTCACTTTCCTATCATGTTCTTAATTATATAACAAGGCGAGTCTGTCTCAATGATGCATACAAGACCAAAAATGAACTGCAAAAGCTAGCAGTTGATTCCTTGAATGACAGCATGGATACTGAAATTCCAGATGAGTGGCCTTTAAAATGCAGGATTGTTGATGTACTACAACTCAATCATTCCAATTCAACCTAAAAACAAATAATTGGCCATATATCAATTATAAAATTCAAATTAGGCCACATTGAGGCTGAATCAAACCAATTGTCAAGCCCTTCTAGACCCATATCAACTTTGGCCGAATTCCCTTTTTCTTAGATTGAATCATCTTTTTTTCTTTTTCTGGATAATATTAACATTAAATTAAATTTCTAATAGAATTAGAATTGAATTCAAATTATTTGGCTTTACTTTTGTAACTCTATTTCTGTAAATAAGTATTTTTTTTTTTTTGTTCATTATTGACCATTGATGAATTATTGAATGAAAATCATTTATTAGATTAATTAAGTGTTTTACCGGTCTAAATTACTTGTTTATCACTCTTGTATTCATTAGTCTCTTTATCCTTCTTTCCACCTTCCACTTCCATAAACTACCTTAATATATACCTAGCTAATAAACTAAGTTGATGTTATTTATCAAATTATTATTCGAAACGTGATATGTTAAAAAAGTGTTATGAAAATAAGTGAAAAAGACTACCGAAGATATTTCATGCAATTTTTAGATATAATTCAAAAGAGAGAAAAATTACATGAAAACTAAACCTATGAGTTTGATAAGCTTATAGGCCAAGGTAGATTCCTTATTGGGCTTGGACAACCTATAGCATTAAGTTTACCAAACACAATGGGATATTCAGTCAGGTTTATGCAAAAAAAATAAAAAAAAATAAAACTCAATTTAGACCGTTTTAATTGAAAAACAATGTTGTCCGTGTGTTGGGCTAACTAAACATAGCCCAACCAACAAAATTAGGGTTTGGCCACAAACCCCCAACAAATAACTAGGTTGGGATAGGCTTTAGCAAGGCTTTTTGATGCGGACATCCAACCATCCATGGCTATTCGAGGAGCTGAAGATCAATGGCTGTCATAGTCCCCGTTATCTTATATTTTATTTGTAGTTTTTAAATTTTTATTATAAATCTTCTGTTTTTACCCTCACTTAAGAGGGTCGTCCTATGTAAGTCTTAGGGGCATATGTGTCTTGTTTTAGTTTCTTAGGCCTATATATAGAGGTCATTTCTTGTGTAATGGGATGATGAATTATTAATGAAATTTTATTCTACTTGTTTGATCTCTTAGTGAGTTCATGAGAGAAAAAGAATCTCTTTGTGAGTTCCGAGATTCCCAAAATCTCTTTGTGAGTTCTTGAGGAAGTGGTGCTTGTAGATCTCTTTGTGAGTTTATTGGAGGTGTTGCTCGAGGTGATCTCTTTCTGAGTTCCGAGATTCCCAATATCTATTTGTGAGTTCTTGAGGAAGTGGCGCTTGCAGATCTCTTTGTGAGTTCTATTGGAGGTATTGCTCGAGGTGTGTAGCTCCGGATTTTCTTTTTCCTAAACCCAATTTAGTTCTTCTCCCTAACCAAACTCTCTTCCTCTCAAATTCCCTTCCTTTGGCCCCCATAAGTCCACCGTCGGCCACCCCAGGCTGATCCCGCCACCGGCGACTCCGCCGGCCTCCTTGGGACGGCCAAGCCACTGGCCTCCAACCCTCCACCCACCGGCCCTCTCTCCACCACTCCATATTTGAAATTTAAATATCAAATTTCAAAATCTTTCCATATAGGGAATCCCAAATTAGGAAAGTTTCTTTAATGAATCCAATTTCAACATAAATCAAATTGGAGTTATCATTTTTCTTTCTTAATATTCACTACCTATTTGGAAACACCTCTACCCCCCTCACCCAACCCACATGTTTGAAATTCAAATTTCAAAATGGCATTAATTGCTTCCCTAAAATAAGGCCAAGTAATTAAGAGAGCTATTAATTGAATTTCAAATTCAAATTAGAAATTCAAAAGCTTTCCAAATACTAGCACTTAAATTA